GTCCAGTCTGGTCCAGTCTGGTCTCCTGTTTAGTTCTGCTCAGGTCTTGTCGCAGCATCGGGTCGTTGGGGTGTTCCAGCTGAAGTCTCTACAGTTTGTGTGTTTGTGTGTGAAGGAGGATCTGGTGTCGTGTTTGTTTGCTGCAGATGTGCGTCTGTGCGTTCTCACCATGGAGGCGCTGTCTTTGGCCTTGGTGGTCTGGATGTACTCGGATACAGCCAGATAGATGAACTTGTACTGCGCCTCGGTCTGGACCATCCCAGAGCGCTGCTCCCGAACCATCTGGATGTACTTTGGGATGTCGATGTCAGTGTCCAGACCTGCAGGGAGGATGGAGGCGGCATGACAAACAGGAAGTGTGGATTTACCCAAAGACCTGGTTTGTGTGAACGCGTTTGTTACCCAGCGTGTCGATGGTCTCCAGGATCATGTCGATCACCACGATGGTCCCTGTCCGACCGATTCCAGCACTGCAGGAACAGGTAACGTCTTTAATTCAAACAGGAAACATCATTCACTGAACCAAGAGCACTGCTGATCAGCCTCACAGGCAGCAGCTCCATCGTCCTGCTGAACTCATACAACTGGTTTCAAGCTGACATTCTGACTTCATGATGCTGGAAGAAGTCCGTGGATCTCTGGATGAAGGATGCAGGTATCAGCTGTTTTATCCCAACAATCCAGATTTAAACGTGTTGGATCTGATGAATCTGCAGCAGCTCAGCAGGTTTCAGACAGAACCGGTAAAGTGTCGCATCACCAGAGGATCTGAGCGACATGAGCTCAGAGCAGGTTTCTGTCAGGAGGCTGCATTTAGCAGATGTTTGCTCTGGGACTTTGTCTACCGTTATCTTTGGACTCTACGGGAGTCTGTGGTTGGGTTCTAATGTCCAGACTGACAAACCGTATACGCCAGAGGATGTCAGATGCCAGAAACACCAGGAATGTTCTGCTACATCTGGATTTCTGTCTGTTCTGACCCAGAAGATGCCTCCTAGTGTTTGACACTGCAGACAGACATCTAAGCAACATGTTTAAAGCTTAGAGCGCAGGATTCTGATGGAGTCTGTGATGCTGCAGGAAAAACACAGCGTCTGTGATCTGGACCAGGAACCGTTGGTCTGATTCCTGCTGCTGTTGGACCAGCACCTTCACATGAATCATCCAGTACATTTAAAACCCTGTTCAACCAATCATCTGGTGCCAGTCAGCCACCCAGTTTGGTTGCATTTCTGTGTTTGCCTCATTTCTTTGTCCATGTAGTCTCTGATCAAGTCGCTGTGTTCGTGCAGTTAAAGGCTGTAAATGGGAGGAAGATTCTGATTCAGCTGCATTTCACTAGAAGATGCTCCGAGAAGCTGCTTTTAGCTGAAACCTCTGAGCGTCACGTTACAGGAAATGAGAAAAGAGAGACTTTAAAGCATTAAAGTGTAAATGCTGAACTGTGGGATCCGACTATCACTGTGCCTGTGATAATCTGTGAACACTGCTCCAGTCAGCAGTCTGGAACAGCAGATCTTATTACTGCTGGGAGGCTTTGTGACGTCCTGCATACCAGCACACTTACACAAGCCTCATGTAATCACTAAGTTGAGCAGAGAAGCACAAGCAGCTTCGCTCATATCACAGAAAATTCCAGCAGGATAAACTGTCAGTTGACTAAAACCTGTTGTTCACATGCGACTAATCTAAATCCAGAAAACATGGTGGTTTAAAAGTAAAACCTCGGAGCTATCATCTCATGTAGAACATGTGCTTTGTGAGAAATAAAGGCAGCTTGGGCAGTTTCTGCAGGTTTCCGTCGTACCTGCAGTGGATAATCATGGGTCCGGCCTTTGGATATTCGGCCTGTTTACCGTTGACCTGCATGAGGAAGCTGAGGACGCCGCCCGGCTCCTGAGGGACGCCGTGGTCGGGCCAGCTCAGGTACTGGTAGTGCCAGATGGTGCGCGAATGTTTGGGCTGAGAACGAGGAGAAAATAAGAAACGTATCAGAAAATGTTCTGCAGAAACGTGAGCCGGCTGCAGCCACCGACGGCGGCCCGGTTCAGCAGTCTGATGGTCTGTGGATGGACCAGCAGCTGTTGGGTCTCTACAGCAACAGAAAAGGTCTCGTTTTGTCCAAAGGTCTTCAGTTTACTGTCACAGAGGAGCAAAGAAACTAGAACATATTCACATTGAAGAAGCTGAAATCACAGAATTTACAGTTTTTAAGAGTATTAAAGCCATTGGTTGACAGCTGATCGGTGAACCGTCACGCTGTCGGCATGAACCAGGCTTCTGTTACGTTGATGTTTAGTGTTTAATGTTTCTTCACCTCGTTCAGCAGAGCGATCTCCAGAACTCGGACTTTATAATCTGCAGCTTCTCTCTCGGACGTGCAGCTCACCATGAAGGAACCGATCTCCTTGGACTCCTGCAGCGCCGGCCAGTATGGAACACACTTGTTCTGCAGGAAACACAGAACAGATCAGCTCTGACTTCATGATCTCTGACAGCTGAAGGCCAACAGCAGCTTCAGCTCTGGTCAATGAACCACAAGCGGTGAGAGGTTTGTTGGACTCCTCTGGTTCCTGTTTCAGATCCACCTCTTATGCTGCAGGTATTTATAAATAGTGAGCGACTTCAGAAACTCTGCTGGTTCTGAAACATACTTCAGACGTTTCCTCCAGAAACAAAACAAAAAGCGTTTGAGGGAAACTAATACATTTGGTTCATTTTGGATTTCTAGAAATGTTTCGCTTCAAAACTAAAACCTAAGTTAGTTTTTCCTGTTTTTCGCTGGGAGAAAGAACCTGGACCAATCAGATGATCTGGTTCTTGGAATGACCAAAAACAAAACTGGACCATTTAGATTTTTATAAACGGATTCTTTTCCCTGAAACCGTTTTTCTGTTTTTGGGTTTAAAACAAAGAACAATTCAGTGACGGTCTGACCGTGGATCACAGACACATCGAGCTACAGTCAGCGGTGTTGCTAGGATACCGACCCGTCCTTTCTCCACCTCTCTGGTCGTCATGACGATGACACTCGTGTTCTCCTGCCACACCATCTGCCAGAAGTCACTGACAGTGGTTGCTAGGCAACCCTGCGTGGCGATGTAAACTTTCTGGTCCGCAGAGTCCCACAGGGTGTTCTGGAATCACAAACACATCAACACAACACATTACCAACACAACAACAACACAACACCACAACAACAACACAACACCACGACACAACATCACAACATGACAACGACTCAACAACAACTGCCTGTTGTGTTACTGTGACCTACTCTGACATAGTTGGCGTTGATGTAATCTGAACCCACAACGTTTGGGTCGCCGTTCTTCAGGGCAACTCTGGTGTCATTGACTGGAGACACAAAACAGAGAAGAAGAAGAGTGAAGCTCTGAGTGGTTATGGTTAGTAGGGTTATGGTTAGTAGGGTTAGTCATCAGAGGTCTGGTTCATTCAGAGCAGCAGCAGCCTCCTCACAGGGCAGGATGTTCTTGTATCGGTTCTTGCTCTTGTTCTCCGGTCTCTGTCCTTCCTCTCTGCTCTTCTTCACCTTCGCCTCCAGTTTCTGAAGAGCCTGTTGGAAGAAAGAGTCTGAGTTCCACGTTGACACTGCTCACTGTGATGTTACTGACAGAACCACATACATGAACATGTTTTACAGTTGGACTGATTAAACTGTCTCAGAGGGTGGAACCAGTGAACAGTTCAACATCTGCAGGATGAGGAGACGCCAGGTGTTCCACTGACGGAACATCTGTGAAAACATGTTGGGTCCAGGTTTTTACATTTTTATCAAATAAACGATCAATAAACGTTTTTTTTCTCTTAGGCTCCGCCCCCGCGACCCTAGTGAGGATGAAGTAGTGTGTAGATAATGGATGGATGGATGGATGGATGGATGGATGGATGGATGGATGGATGCTTCTTCTCTCTGGTCTCCATGGTTCTGAGTCCTGCTGACAGAAGACATCTCTGAGTTCTTTCTCCTCCTTCATGTTCTGGTTCCTCAGAGCTGCAGGACTTTATGTTGAAACATGAACCTCAGTGAAGGACCATGAATAAATATCAGTATGAAGTAAAGCAGCAGTGGAGATCAGCGTGACTTGTGGCTGTTTGGTTGCTGCTGGGTTCTGAGTTGTTCCTGCTCTGGGCCTCCACCAGGGGGCAGTCTGAGCCTCCGCACCAATTAAGGATGATGGCTGTTGAGCTCATCCGTGTCGATAATTACATATATGAACAGAACTATTGCTCCTGGTCAGCTCCTCAGACTCTCAGCATTAATTCTGTTTAAAATCAAGTCTTACATCGAACTCCTCCCAGAATCCAGCTTTGAGCTTCTCTCCTTCCTGGCTCTGGTCTGAGGTCAGATCCAGCTGCTTCACTCTGCTGTCGATGTCGGCGGCGTTCACTCTGGTCGAGTAGTACGGCTGCACAGGTGAGATACAGGTGTGTGTGTGTCAGCTTCACTCTGCAGCACCTTCAGGTATAAAACTAACAAACCGACTCTGACTCAGGTGTTGTTCACCTGCAGCTCACCTGCTTCAGGTGAACCCAGTTTCCAGAAATCTCCTCGATGCCTTTACGTTTGTAGCATTCGACCAGATCTGTGAGCGAATCGAAGAGCTCGGAGCCGCCAACAGTGTACCTGTCGTTCTAACACAACACACACACAACCTGTCATTGTGACACAACAGACTGTCAAAATAAAAGCATTTATCACAGAGAGAATCGGCAGATTGTCAGCTGTCTGACTGTCTTTGAACGCATCGTGCGTGTTTTTGGTGTTGTGTAGAAAAAAATTAACCAAATCTATGATTTAAATCAGGACTTTTCATTAAAATCATTTTATTTTATTCTATGTCTCACTTAAAAATCATGAAGATAAAAAGTTGCTGAGCTGCAGGACAGTCAGAAACAAGGCCGAAGCGTTCATGCTCAGAAACTGTTCAGAGTTCAGAGAGTTTTTTAAAAAGTCAAAGAGAAAATCATGCATCAGATGAGAACAAAGGACAAAGTGATGAAATAAAATCACTGTGGAATCAGAACTTCAGTCTAAATTTACACTGATAGTCTTAAAATAGGATAAAAAGAGGATTTTTCTCTGTGACTTTCAGGAAGGTTCTGATTCTGTCTCATAAAGTTAATGAGCGTTAAGCCGACTCCTTCAGAATAAAAGCCCTGACAGGAAACATTTAAATAAGAACCAAACACTGTTTGTCTGAGCTACTAATAAAAAAGGTGTGTGTGTGTGTGTGTGTGTGTGTGTGTGTGTCGGCAGCAGTTAACACACAGTGGATTCTACAAACACACAATCCTGTGAAATAAAGGACACAAAGAAACACAAACTGCTGCTGAAAACTGAGAGGAAGCTGATGAACAGCAGCTCTTATTGCACAACAACACAGGAAATGAGACACAACTCTGGGAATACCCACACACACACACACACACACACACACACACAGACACACATTGACACCCACACCCACACACACACACACACACAC